CCATGTGTCCCTGCACCCTCTGCACTCATGTGGCTCTACACACCCATTCCCATTCAGCCCCTGACTCAATGCTGTTACCACACTAGCTCCTGTGCCCACCCAGTCTGTCATCCCCCCCCACCCACTAGCCTATTTGAACCCCAGCCTGTATCACCCCCCAGCAGCCCAGTGTTCCCTGCTCTGTCCGTCCCCCCATATCTCCTCACCATCTCCTTAATGGTATTATAGCAACCCACAATTTTTCAGGCACATACTTTATTTCATTCATATTTCACAGTCTGTCTCTAGAAAGTTTTACAGAAAAAAAAAATCACATTTGTAATCAAGTTCTCATACTACAGTATTCAGATTTTGCAATGCACTTGAAGGTACAGAAAATATTTACATTCAACCAGAGTTATCAAAGTTAAAAAAAACCCTTCATTAAAGCAATTAAAAATTCAAGATATATAAAGTTATTAAAACTTTTACATGAAAGCAGAAGTCTGCTTGACCCATCAACCTTCTCCTTTCCATGTCACTTCACCCAGTTGGTGGCAGCAGCAACAGCTGAAGCTGCAGAAACTGTTTAGATGACCTTTCAGAGCTCAGGACCTCTGGTTTAAGTCTAGGTTGTTAAAGCAAATTCTAGTTCAGTGTTTCCCAAACTTGTTCCGCCGCTTGGGTAGGGAAAGCCCCTGGCGGGCCAGGCCAGTTTGTTTACCTGCCGCGTCCACAGGTCTGGCCGATTGCGGCTCCCACTGGCCGCGGTTTGTTGCTCCAGGCCAATGGGAGCTGCTGGAAGCGGCGGCCAATATGTCCCTCAACCCACGCCGCTTCCAGCAGCTCCATTGGCCTGGAGCAGCGAACCACAGCCAGTGGGAGCCGCAATCGGCCGGACCTGCGGACGCGGCCCGCCAGGGGCTTTCCCTACACAAGCAGCGGAACAAGTTTGAGAAACACTGTTCCAGTTGATCCATAGATCAAAAAACCTCCAAAACCTGCAGGGCCAGTGCTTACAGAATTGTTTCATTGAAGAGGCTGATGGCTTTTGGACAATCTGGCTAGGCTGTTTCTGGATTCAGTCTAGAACTGGCTTCAGCTTCAGACCAAGTCTACTAAAAACCAATGAATTCTCTCACCATAGCTTCATCCCCTTTTATTTTACTAAACTTACAACTAGGGTAGGAAAGCTTTTGCTATATAAAGCTTCAGTAAGGCTTCCAGCAATAAAGGCAGCAAAGAGACATATGAGTAAACTGGAGTTTGACAGCTTTTTGTATATCTACAATCAGTGCCCTCCAGCATACTTCATTAATGACCTTAACTGCTAATTTATCTGGGGACATGGGTCCTAGGTGACCCCAGATTTATTCAGTAGCTTTGAAGAAGATTTTTCTAATTCAGAACATACTGAATAAGAAGTTGGGATTCTGACAAGCAGTATGATTTCTAAGCAGTTGCTGAATTTCTATTCAGTTTTACTATGTTCACATATATTTTATATAAAACTACACTAGTTAGAAAGATCCGCTAGCTCTGAGCATACCACTTTTAGCCCACCCCTCGTGAGAGAGCCTGTGATGTTGTGTGAGCTACAGCAGATTTACACTGTCCAGGGTTTTCCTACATCAGGAAGTACACTATATCCTGTTAGGGTAATTTTCTGCCCTCTCTGCTCCACCAGAGTGGAGCAAGTGGGAGCCTCCCTCTCTTCCCTTCAATCATCTGGGACTGAATTTCTGTCAACCACCCCCTTACACCCCCCCCATTCCTCTTCATCTCTAAAATGTCCATAATTAATTCTAGATCCATCACTTCACGTTCTAGAACAGTCATTCCTAAATTCAGACCCTATTTATTAAGATTCTCCACAGCCTCAGATGGGAGAAGCAGAGCTTCCAAGGAAAGAGAAGGGACCTCTGAGGATAGGACTAGGTGGCTCACATGTCTATTCCCCTCTCTGTAATCCCATACACAAACACCTGTATCTCTCAGATCAAGGGAACAACCTTTACTCTCTTTCAATAAGGGGGTTGGAAGCTCCACTGCAGTAAATTTGTTATGATTCTCTAGCAGGCTCAGGTGTCTCAGTGTTTGGCCCGGAATGTGTGATGCCCTCCTGCCATATGCAGCGTCTTGTTTGAATCTGGTGTCACTATGCTATGTGTTAACAGTAGCAAGCTAACTTCAGATATCAGGCAACACAGGAAACCCACATAAGATTTTGGCCAAATTCCCATCCACTGCCCTTCTCCCCCCGCTTTCTTTGATGGTGCTCTACTCCACAGCTGGGATGGTGCTTAATCAGCTACTATTCAGTTGGGTTTTGAGGGAAATCTCTCTCTAGCTCCAGAAGTCAGTCCAAGCCTGACTTTCATGTTCCATCCCTTTTTGAGGCACATATGCAACTCCTTTTCAGTGAGCTAAGTAAGGTGCTGAAAAGGGAAGACTCTTCTCCTACCTCCAAAGTTTCCCAAGGCATTTGTTACAGTAATGCTGTAGGTGAATTCTTTAGGACCTCCTGCAATGTTCATTTGAGACCATCAGAAGAATGAAAGGGTCACATCACTGAATGTAAAGACAAAAGGCCAACTCAAACTTTCTAACTGGAATGCTTTTAGGTTTCTTTTTGAGAAACTGAAATCATACAGGAATGTAAGAATGTCCAGGCAATACTTGATCACATGAAATGCAAGTTTTGTTTGAAAAACATTGTCAAACCAAAGGGATCAGACTCTGATCATATAATTTAGAATGGGAAAGACTGTTCACTTCATTCTTAGATGACCATATTTTAAATCTCCTTATACAGAGGAGTATTTGAAAGACATGGCTCAAGATGAAGGGAATACAAAGGAGAGTGACAAGTCAAATTCAAACAATATGAACATGTCTGTAGAACAGCTTTTGAAACAAGATTGTCGGGTACATCTGACACTAAGGTCTAATGCCTCTACCAGCATCAGTGTGTAAGTGCACGCTTCAAGACAAGCAGGTTGGGAATGATAATACTCATACTGAAGAGAACATTAAAAAGTGTTCAAGGTCATATTCTTGGGAAGATGTCACCAAGGTGACCAGAGTCTTTTCTAGTGATACACTCAGATGTTTCTCATAAAAAGAAAAACAAGGCTTGCTTCACTCTAGGACCTGTACAACCATTTTTTTTCCCTTCCTTAAACTCAGCAAGCTGATTTCACAGCCAGAAAAGAGTCTCTCCTAAACTGGATAAAGACCAAAGGATGCATAGCTGGTCTTGCTAGCTGCCTAGTGAGGAACGTATTTTGGAGAAGTTCTATAGCCTATGATATACAGGAAGTCATACTAGTTGATCACAATGGTCCCTTCTGGCCTTGGAATCTACAAATCTTCATTGTAATGCATTTAAAAAATACCACTTAGCTTTTTTTTTTTAAAGTAACAGTCAGTGTTTAACTCCTTGCATACTTGGGAAATCCAAAGCCACCTTGCTTAGAACAGTTGTTAGCCGTTAATGGGCAGTACAAATAAACCTGCTTTGGAATAAACACATCCAGTGCAGGTCTAGTGCTTTCAAATTTTCACCCAGCTCTCAACTTTAAAGAAATTAAAATAGGCAGGCTGACAGGGCCTGCCTAGAACTATCACATCCCCCACCTCCCCACCCCCACTTTGCTCAAGCAATGCAACATATGGAGTGCAGCTTTAATGCAAGCAGATCTCCATTTGTTCAATGTGGTGATTATCCAAGAGCAAGGTGTCATAACTATAAAGGGAAGGGTAACAGCCCTCCTGTGTACAATACTATAAAATCCCTCCTGGCCAGAGACTCCAAAATCCTTTTACCTGTAAAGGGTTAAGAAGCTCAGGTAACCTGGCTGACACCTGACCCAAAGGACCAATAAGGGGACAAGATACTTTCAAATCTTGGTGGGGGGAAGGCTTTTGTTTGTGCTCTTTGTTTTGGTGGGTGTTCACTCTTGGGACTAAGAGGGACCAGACATCAATCCATGCTCTCCAAATCTTTCTGAACAAGCCTCTCATATTTCAAACTTGTAAGTACAGCCAGGCAAGGCGTGTTAGTTTTATCTGTTTTCTCAACTTGTAAATGTACCTTTTGCTAGGGTGTTTACCTGTTTGCTGTAACTTTGAACCTAATGCTAGAGGGGGTTCCTCTGGGCTCTTTAAGTTTGATTACCCTGTAAGTTATTTTCCATTCTGATTTTACAGAGATGATTTTTACCTTTCTTTCTTTAATTAAAAGCCTTCTTTTTAAGAACCTGATTGATTTTTCCTTGTTCTAAGATCCAAGGGGATTGATCTGGACTCACCAGGAATTGGTGGGGGGGAAAGGGAAGGGAGGGGGGAATGATTAATTTCTCCAAGGGTTTTGGATCAGTGTTCACCAGGGAATTAATTGGTGGAAGAGTCTCTCAAGGCTACCCAGGGAAGGGAGTTAGCATATTGGGAGTGGTGGCAGCAAAAGCAGATCTAAGCTGGTAGAGAAGCGTAGAGGTTTTCATGCAGGCCCCCACATCTGTACCCTAAAGTTCAGAGTGGGGAAGGAGCCTTGACACAAGGCCACCTTGTGTCTTTGGAGTATTAACACAAAGCCGGAGATACCACATTACCCATCAAGTTTCCTCTTTCCCTATCAATTCATAAGCGGCTACACTAGACCAGGTCTTTTGTCCCATTCTGTGAATTGGCTGTCTGGAGATAGGGGGTGAAAAAAGGTGCTTGCCAGGAAAAAGCCATTTGCAATGTTCTCCATCATAAGAATGGGAACACATCACATCATAGCACTTTCACACCTTCATGGCCCAAAGAAGAGCACAGTTACTCAATTCCGGGTCACATGAAGCAGTACTAATTCCTGCCTATGCCTCCCAACTGGCATTTGGGACAGTTTATTAATGGCATGCTGCTTTGTGAATGAGTTTTAAAAGTAGTCTCAAACTTAGAAAATGCTCTTGTAAAAGCTTGAGACAGAGGAAGAGAGGCACTCTAATCACTTGACCAGCTATATATCTTTTGCGCTACATGTTGGGATATGTAGGAGAAGCCTCAAGGCTGCTGTCAGCTTTATCTGACCCTGTTAAGGATGCCCCTAGCTCTGCCCAGGCCTGAGGAGCATTGCTCTTTATTGCCTCCATGAACAATTGTGTTTGCTGCTTCAGTCGGTCCAGTTCAATCTGGGTTACCTGGTTCTGATGAATCAGCTCCTTGGTTTTCAAGGTGATCTCCAGCAATCCAGACCTGTGCAGCACAACAAAGGTATTCTGAAAGCACTTGCGCTTGCGTTGCTGCTGCAACAATAGCTCAGGAGTAGTATAAAGTTCTTCTGCTGCTAAAGGTGGGCTGCAGGTTGCTAATTGCACCATATGATGTACTGGATTCTCCATCTCAGGAGATTTGCGGTCTGATATCTGGAGGAGTCCAGTAGGGGGAAAGGGAATCAAACCTGGGGCCTTTTGTTTGGCAGTAGAAATATACTGAAAGACATAAATAGTTGACATTTTTCCATCTGCCATCAAAGCTGGAGAACTCTGCTGAGTCGAGTCCTGAGCAGGCTTAAAGTCAGGTGATACTTGGGGGCAAGCACTAGAGGGCAATAAACTAGTCTTATTGGACATAGCAGTATCTGTGCAAAGCCATTTCTGTCCACTGGTTCTCCCTCTTTCCTCCAAATCCCAGCCACGATCTCTTTTGCTGGGATGTGGTACTGTCTTTGTGTATGAGTTCAGGATGGGCAGGTAATTAGTAGAGTCACTTCTCTTTTCACCAAAAAGGTGAGGGTTAATGGGAGGGGAGATGGCTGGATGAAGAAACACTAGCTGTGGTTGACCTGGAATCACTTCAAAAGATGGCTGAACAGTCCAAGACTGAAGCTGCGATGAACTGCTTTCCCTGAGAAGTATGGGTGGAAAAAGTGGAATTATCACAACTAACAGTGTAAGAAAAAATGTTAGAAAAGCTTTATCAGAACAGGTGAGCCTAGTGCCAATGCCTGTAGACATTGTTGCTGCCAGTTATAATGCAATATGAGTAAGTTTTACATCCTATAAATTCATTCTTCCCTTCTTGTGACATTTGAGGACACTGCTAGAGACAAAGCTGTAATTCAGAATCTATTTACTGCTGAACAGCAAATACATTTAGAAGCCATTCAGTTTTAGCATTCCTATTTATGCTAACCCTGGACTTGAGGATATAATAAGAGAATAATAACTACAAGTGTCCAGACAACTTTGAAAGAAAGCCACAACACTTAAAGTTATGATTTAAAAAAAGCCTTCAGATGAATGCTGCACAAACATTCTATCTAGAAGTTTAAATTATATATTAGTTGAGACATAAGAACTCTATCCTGTCTCTTCTATTCTTACAGCAAGTGCGTGAAACAGTCTCAGTTATTTCTAACACAGTAGGTGGTCACTAACAAGTGCTGTAGTTCTAAAATTTACTGAAACCACATATTATACAAAAACCTAGCACTTGAAGTGTACCTAACGCCTACTAGCCCAAGGAGAAACACCTGCTCTACAAACAAAGTTGCACCCTTTCAACACCACACCTTTGGTTAAACTGGTGCAACTTTGTGTTGACAAGCTTAAAGTCTATTACTGTGGGGAGAAAAACACCTGTGCCGCCTCTCCCCTCCTAAAATTACACCCCTGGCAATGTAAAAAAATGAAGTATTTGTAACATTATCAACCATTTTGATTTAATTAAAAAAACCACTTACCACATTGATACTAATTGGCTCAAAACTGTCTTCAGCTAAACCTATCCTAAGACATCCATACTACCTCCCACTTATTTGTCTCATCTACCTTTAATGGTGGGTCTTTTAGATGCCAATGCAGCAAAGCATTTAAACATGAGCTAGAGTCCATCTGTATTCAGCAAAGCACTTTACCACACAATTAAGTGCTTTGATAAACAGCAAACGGCAGAGGAAGGATGATTCTGTGGTTAGGATGCTAGTCTGGGACTCAAAAGGCTCCGGTTCAATTCCCTGCTATGTCACAAGCGACCAGTATTACTTTGGGCAAACCACTTAGAGGCAGAGAAACTGTTTCTCATCTGTAAAATAGGAATACTATTACCTTCCTACTTCACAGGGGTGCTGAGAAGATAACTACGTTGTGAGGTGCTCAGAGATTATGGTAATTGGGGGTCCATAAATACCTTAGATATACAGAATACAGATGGGCTGTAGAATTTGAAGCCTTAGGCTACATCTACAGCAAGCAGTAGGGGTGTAATTCCCCTGCTCATGTACATATACTTACGCTACCTCTCATCAACCTAGCGCAAGTATAAATAGCAATGGAGCTGCGGTAGCAATGGTAGCAGCAGCAGAGGCATGGCTGAGTCATGCCAAGCACATACCCAACAATTTCAGGCAAGTTTGTGCTCAGCATGGCTCAGCCTTGCTGCCATTACCAGTGCTACAGTGGCTACACTACTATTTATACTTGAGCTAGCATGAGTATGTGTACACAAGCAGGGGAAATCATTCTCCTAGCTGGTAGCACAGGCATAGCTTGAAAGGGCAAGCTCTTTGGTGCAAGGCCTGTCATTTACTATATGTTTGTACAAAACCTAGCATAAAGTGGCCCCAATTTGGTTGATGCTTCTTCATGCTATCTTGCTCTTCTTTACTTTCCTGGATTCCTTTCTCATAATACATATTTTTCTACATTGTCCATTTCCTCCCTCCACCGTCCGTCACTCATTTTTCCCCTTGACACTGTGTTCTCTGGTCTTTTGTCTCCTACCAAAATCTCACTTTGTATCACTCTCCCTTTTCCAAAGTTATTCTGTTCATCTCAGCCGATTCACATTTGGAAAGCTCACTTTACAGCTTTTTTTTAAAATGGAAGCTTAAATTTTGCAACAGTCAACAGCACTTGTCCAGAAAGGCTTTGTGCATGCATGGGTGAGTCACTTTTACAAGACTTGTAAAAACTTCGCAGATAAATTGTACTGAGTTTAACAGAATTAATTCCATCTTGTTTTTAGCAGAATTATAGTAGCCCACATTTTCACTTTAAAATCAGCACAGCTGATCTGCACAGCTAGTATGTGTTTCTATGTAGGAGGATGGTGCTGTTATAGTAGTTCTCCTAAGCTGCTTGCCTGGTCTGAACCAGAGGAGAAAAAGACAGAATGCTGATGGTCTAACCTGTGATTAAAAAAAAAAAATTCTGTCTCATAGCTGTTGCACCAAGAATTGTGTGGGACAACAAATCAATAAACCCCCTTATTTTTGGCACTGATCACTGTATTCGAAGGACCATTCCAACACAGTTGACTGACCCAACATATTCCAATTTGCTTAGTTATCACAGGTTGAGGCAGGAATGCATTTCATGATCATTAACCTATAATCATTGCTTTTGTTTGCTGAAGTAAAGTCTTCCATTTTACTTTAACATGACTCCCTCTTTATTTTATATAAAGAGGTTTGGACATGAAGATCTATGACTCAATGGACTGTCTTCCTTGTTTATTCTTAATTTCTCTCCCTCACTCTGCTACATTACAAAATTTCATAACTTAGGTATATTATAAAAACCAGTAAAGTTTTGCTTGCACCATCCCCTGGGAAGTTTGTTAGCATAACAAGAGAGCCCGTATTTCATTTTCCACCTCTCACCCTGAAGGCACCAGTAGGAGAAGCTAGCCTAACCCCTCCCAGATTGGAGCTTTGTGCGTCTGCTTAAACAGTTTGTCCACATTTCCAAGAACTGGGAGGGAGGAACCCACACAGTGTTTTGTCAAGCTAAAGAGAGCATGTTGTGGAGATCAAAGAACTGACTTCCCTCTAAATGCCTACTCCAGACATCTCTTTCATTGCACATCTTAACAGAGCCTCACTCTCTCTTTGGAGATCAATAGTGAAGTTTAACCACATTTGCTTGCAACCATTCCAGCCTGGGCTGTAAGTCTGTCAGATCTCACAACAAAGTCAGGTGAGACTAAACTTGGATTGTGTTTCTCCTTGGAGGGTTCCCATCCATTTTTCCCCACTGCATTTTCAGGAATTTTTCACTCAGATGGAAGGCTGAAGAAATTTTGGTCCCGCTCTGATGAGAGAGTTAGAAACATGGTTTCTCCCACACCTTATTTTAAGTTGTACATGTTTCAAAAGTGGCTTACAATGTGCTCATAGACTGACAGAACGACATGGCAGAGAAACTAATCAATTAATGAGTTCATTCAGTTGTTACAACTTAAGCCCTGAAATTTACTTTTTATTTAGCAATTGTTTAACATTTTGTGCCGAATCATCTTAATTTAGACACAAAAATATAGATTTATTAGAACAGAAAAAGCTTTGACAAAATCCAATATAAGCAGAGATGGTTTCATATTTTATTCATTTTGAATTACACTTTAACATTTGCTTATACTATTGGAATCCAAAATCCTTCTTAAATACTTGAGATCTAGCAAGTGAAACTGACTATTCTAGTTTCACTAAGCTGAGTAAAATACTCCCGGGGGAATTCTGCGCCACTGCACACACACACAGAATTCACGTCACCTGCAGATTCCTTTCCCTCCCTCCCTCCTCCAGAAATACATACTGCCAGGAAGGCACTGCAGGTACACTTTTCACCCACCAGGGGCCATTGTGGTGCCAGAAGAGAGGACAGCTGGCTCAGCCAGCCATGGAGAAGGAGGGGGAGAGGCGGTCTTCCTCACAGTGCCCTGCCTGCAGGGCCACATATGGGGAGGATGGACAGAGCAGGGCACACGGGGGTGCTGGGGAGGTCACACAGACTGGGGTTCAGAAAGACTAGTGGGGGGGGGGAAGAGTGGGGCAGGGGCACAGGAGCTAGTTGGGGGACAGCATTGAACAAGGGGCTGAATGGGAGTGGTGGTGCAGGGCATATGGGGACACGGGTGTGCAGGGACACATAGGGACAGTGGCAGATGTGCCTGACTGAATGGGAGAGGCTAGGGGTGAACCAGTGTCTGCATGGGGGAAGCTCCCCAACTCACTCACAATCCCTTCTCCCACCCCCCAAAAAACCCCCTGTTCCATACTTCTCCCACCCACACCCAACAACCCTCCACGTGCACACCCAGGCTCCTTCCCAGCAATTACTTCTCTCTCCCTCAGCTCCTCCGTTAGGAGTAACTCCCACAAGCCTTTACACTGCTTCTGAGGGGTGCGGGAAATACAGTTCTGTATTGTAGTTTAAATTATTACTCAAAGTTCTGTATTAATATGCCTAGTAAGGAATCTATTTGTCAAAAAACATTTCCTGAGTCTGTCATCTGTAGTGTTACAGACATACTTGCTGACAGGTATTTTGAAATATATTACCAAAATAATTGAAACTGGCATGTTTTTTTTTATATTGTGTTATTTTGACAAATAAAATACGCAGTTTGCAGAATTTTAAAATATTTTGCACAGCATTTTAAATTTTTTGGCATAGAATTCCCCTAGGAGTAGTAACGTAGCAAAGCATCAATGCAGAAAGTACGCTAGATTTCTAAAATCTTTCATTTAAATAATCTGAGGTGCTAATAGTATTTTTTCTAAATATGTCTTTTATCTTTCCAGGATCCCTTTAAAATAAAGAGATTTAACAAAGGTGTATGAGGCTTAAGAAACTTATATTTGATCTATCTTGGTGATGTTAGCCTGCCTCTGGCCAGGGACAGACTCACGCTAATAGATCTTCTACTGATACTATGATTCTATGAGTGTAGCAACAAGTTAGATGAATGTCACCCTTTAAAAGTTATTTGCGAAGTGCCCTTCTGAAAGGAAAACATACTTTCCAATATATTATTATTATTCCCCCCCTACCTGTTTGACCAGTACATTTTTCATTATGACCACAGGAGAAAGTGTTGGGAAGGAATTGCTTGTGGCCAGTGAGTACTGCCTGGGCCCATCCTCTGTGTTCCAACCCAATGCATTCAGCGTATTCTCTGAGCTGGTCAGCTCCACAGAACCCAAGACTCTCTGAACTTCCATCTGGTAGATGCAAAGTCCAGTTATTAGTTGTTTTATATGCAGCAAGCTTTCTGAGCTCCCACCCATTTCCGGATTCCACACTGTTCAATCAGATTGTGCACAATGCTGCTAATTTGATTTTGGATTCCAACTAACATGGGCTTCATTCATTGTCTGATGGCTGCTCAGTGGCCTCTGACTTTAGTTAGTAATTTTCAGTGATGGATTTTTTTTACGTGGACCTTTCCTCACAACTGGCACCCTTGTTGTAGTCTCAGAGAGGCCAAGGATTGTACTTTGTCTTCATGCCTATTCAATCTATTAAAGCATACTAAGGTAGGACAGTGTTGCAGAATCTCGCACTGCCAGTTTTGTACCCAGGGCCTCATATCTCCATCACTCACCTTTCACAAATATAATTTTTTTTTCTAAAGAAAGAGAAAGATCATTGCATAGTTTTGGTGTGTATTAAAACTCTACTTGGATGTGCCATTTTAATCAACTTTACAAAAATTACTTTCTAGTGTAACAGGCTGTTTGACATTCTGATCACATGTAACTCAATAGGTCATGCAATGACCAAATAGGAGCCCCTTTTCCTAGACTGTAGCTAAAATGAAAAATATGCCCATTAGAAGTAGAGACTGAAGCAAACCTCAACACCATGCAGATTGACAAAATGAGCTTTAGAAGAGTATTAAAGCTTGGCTTTGAAGATTTTAGTAGTCACAGGATTTTCAAACTTGCCCTATACACAAGTTCTTCCACCCTTCCACATACGAGTTGTCTGGAACTGTAAAAAGATACGTTTGTTAAGCAAACTGTGAAGTTTAAAGAAGATAGGAGGAAAATTAATTATCTTTTTCTAAACCTGAGAATCCAGATTCTTTGTCAGATTCAGCTGCTGCCATGCTGAACTGATGCGTCAATCTCTTCATGTCCATCACATTGCCCAGTTTGGTTAATAGCCTTCTGGGGCTCTCTTTAGATGGGTACTTTCTCTCCATGCTTTTACAGTGCTGGAGACAGAGTTGTCAACACTTCTTCCATTGGGGGTGGGAGAGTGGGGAGGAAGAAATCTGAAACAAAACAAAAACAAAACAAAAAAACCCAAGTCCCTCTGAAGCCGAGGAAGCTAATTCCACTAATGCAGAATAAGCTTTGCAATAAGAGAAGCTTATCTTTCTCTGACAAGCCCTTGAAATTATACTAACAGAGCTGGTTATCTAACATCCAGCTCTAGATTTGCCACTTTTATAAAAAATTCAGGTTAGTACGTGGACTGTCAATAATAGCAGAGCTTATTCCCTGTAAACCTCTCTCTCTAAACTTTATAACCTAGAGTGCTAAAAACGCACAACTCAATATTGCATCAAACACATATTATTATTATAGGCTGTGCTAATAAAGATCCCTATAGGAAAGGTTGTCTGACAATTTACATTAGACAATCTAGTTTTCAGTTGCTTAGCTTTACCAAACTGCTTGGGTTGAAATTTCCCATGCTAGGTGTCTGCCTCAGCTAAGCAGTTTTATTTTATTTATTTATTTATTTATTTAATTTTTTTAAACAGAGTTACAGCTAAGTTCTTCAGCCATTTCTCAGAATGAGATTAGGAAATATGATGTTTTGTTTTGTTTTGTTGTTGTTAAAAATTCTTACAACTATTTCACTGAGAATCTCTAGCTCCTCCATGCTTTGGAGCACAAACTTGACATCTGGCAGGGGAGTTGTCCTGGTGTCAAGAATGTGCCTTTTATCATCCTTGTGAAAGTCCACCTAAGTTTTGGCCAAGTTGTGAGCCTCTGAAAATCTGAGTTCATGCATGTTCAGTAGAGACTTGTTGGAATTCACAGCTAAGTTCTCCAAAGATTTCATCTACACCAGGGGTCTCAAACTCAATTTACCTTAGGGCCAGTGCCAGTCCTCAAATCCTCCCAGTGGGCCAATAGTGTCACTGAAGATGGTGTTCAGAAAAGAAAACGTTTATATTGTATTTTTTATTTCAAATTTCTTAGAAATAATAAAACTGTCATACAACTTTATACAATTCTTTGCCTGTCAGAGAGTTTTTAGTGTTTGCCAGACACCTGGCAACGCTTCAGTTCTGTCAGTTTGTTGATGTTTGGCCTCAGTGACTGAGCAGTTGAAACTTTCAGGATTGCAGCAAGGTGAGCATCAGATAGTTGTGTTCGGTATTTTGACGTGTTTATATTCATTGTGGAAAAATGTGACGCTACCTCCATGGCTGACTCTGCCTGGCGACTAGTGATGGTATCTCTGTCCCTCTACCCCAGCCAATGGGAGCTGCGGGGGGCGGTGCCTGCAGCAGATATTGCCGGCAGCATGGCTGCCAGCATCTCTCCTCTGCGGACCGCAGTGGGGAGGTTCTCGGGCCGCTGATGGCCCGTGGGCCAGGACTTTGAGACCCCTGATCTACATTGAGCATGCCTCTGGGGCTAGCAGGACTTTTCCTGCAATTGTTCCTCCCAGCAGCTAGGGGCTGCTGAGGCAGCAAGCACAAGAACTATGGGAATCAATAAGGTTCTACATGACTACAATTTTGTTTTTTTCAGAGATGTTAAAAGAATGCTAAAGTTGCAGAATCATACCCTTGCAAGTACACTCTTTAATCACACACTATTCCCCCCCAGCCCCCAAACCCCTGCCTCATTCAGTGCTCAGGATGGACAGTGCTCAAGGAATGAATCAGAGTTGTGTAGTGAAGGAGGCTGTTGTCTTTAGGACTCCTGCCTCATCTGTTGCAGAACTTGGAAGGTGTCTAGTGAATGAGACAGGAGAAGAGAAAGGATGGTCACATCTGGGTTAGTCAGTGGAACTGTACTCTGGAAAACTGAATTTTATCTCTATCTTTGCCACACACAGTTTTATGACAAGTAACCATTAACTGCGTGTTACCATTTTCTGCTTGCCCACTTTGAGACACCTGGGATCTGATTTGCAGAGCTGCTGAAATCAGAACAGCAACTGCTCTCAGAAAGCTGTGCTCTGAAAAATACAGTTTTATAAAATACTAAGTTCCCTAAAAAGTCAGGCCATAGACCTTTCAAATTGGGAACCCAAAATTCATGTACACTTGATAAACTGGAGAATTGGTCTGATATCAATAAGATAAAATCCAATAAAGTGCAAAGTGAACTTAGAAAGGGAAAATCAAATGCACAAATACAAAAAGGGGAATGACTGGCTAGGCAGCAGTTCTGCAGGAAAAGGTCTGGAGGTTGAAGTGGATCACAATTTGCATATGAGTAAACAGTGTGATGCTGTTGTGAAAAAGGCAAATGTCATTCTGGGATATATTAAGAGGAGTGTCATCCTTAAGACATGGGAGGTAATTGTTCCACTGTACTCAGCATTGGTAAGGCCTCAGCTGGAGTACTGTGTCCAGTTTTGGGCACACACTAAGAAAGATGTGGACAAATTGGAAAGAGTCCAGAAGACAGCAACCAAAAAAATAAGGCGGCTTACAAGACACAAGATGGGGGAAAGGTTCAAAGTATTTGACACATTTAGTCTAGAGAATAGAAGGTTGAGCGGGGGAGACATGATAACACCTTCATATTTATAACAGATTGTTATAAAGAGGATGGTGATCAATTGTTCTACTGAAGTTAGGACAAGAAGTCATCTGCTTAGTTTGCACCAAAGGAGATTTAGGTTGATATTAGGAAAACCTTTCTAACTATAAGGATAATTCAGCACTGAAACAGATTTTTTAAAGAGTTTGTGGAATCCCATTAATTGGAGGTTTTTAAGAACAGGTTAGACAAACACATGTCAAGGATGGTCGAAGTGTACTTAGACCTGCCTCAGCCTTGGGAAGGTGACAGATGGACTAGATGACCTTGTGAGACCCCTTATAGCCCTATATTTCTATAAGTCTCTATACCTCAGTTCCCCATCTGTAAAAAGTGACATGATTACCAAAGGTATTGTGAAACATGCTGGTACTATAGTGATGAGTGCCGTAGAAAAGTCCACAAGGAAGTTAATTTTGTATTCAGAATAGGGGTTGAACGGTTTTCAGTAAATAAGGCATGGGGCCACACATTGAACAATGAGGATCAAACAAAAATTACACAGTTGATTCATTCAATGAGCACGGACGACCCTGTCCACTGATGGAGGTAGGGGTCCAAGTGGGGAAAAAAGCATGTGATCATATAAAGACTGCACCATAATGCGCACATTAGAGGGCCAAATTAAGGTTGCACAGGAAACCTTAATTCTGGCATTTCATAACTGCTGAGTGCTTGACTTTATAACCTTAATATTCTCTTAGTGTAATTTTTGTAAGTAAATATTTACACAGGGCCATCAATATGAATGATACTGTATTTCTGCTGAACAAATATCTAGGAAATGTTTATGCACTGTTTTCTGAAAGGTAACACTGGCAAAAAAATTAACATTTGAGGACCAGAAGTAATTGTTACTGTACAACTAACTATATTAATTTTCCTCTAAGGATCTCAAATTGCTTTGATACTTGCTAAATTAGCTTAATACCCTTGAGAGACAGGACAGTATCATTACACCCATTTTACAGATGGGAAAACTGAGCTCCAGAGCTGCAATGACTCTCTCAAGGTTACTAAACAGGATAGTGCTGGAATCAGAAATAGTACCCAGGACCCTGACTCCCAGGCCCCTGCTATAGCTGCTAGACAACACTGTTTTACCAGAGGTGACAGCTACACTCCATAATCCAGAATCTGAATACCTATCCTATTAGCCTACATGTGTGGCAGAAAGGCTTATATGAACTACTGTCTTGCTTTTTAAACCCATTGCAACTTGTCCTAACTCGGGTAACATCAGAGTGAACAACTGTACCTGATGACGTGGCAAATAGGACAAATGTATTGGCATCTGGGACACTCAGATGTACCTCAAAGAAATAAGGCTCAGGATTGCTGGTAGTGACATAGGAATAGTTCCCCTCATATGTAACTCTAGTGTGACCAATTACGAAAGTAACAGTGGCAAGAGTAGGACATCAGCTCTTAGGATAGGCGAAAGATGCAGATAGGACATGTAGCTAGGGAAGAAAGTAATCGAGTAAGGAAAATTGACACCTTTGAAAGCCCCATAATCTGAACTCTGATCCTGAATTCTACACATGAAGGTTCAAATACATGTGCTCTTATAAGTCATATGAAGAGGAATACCATTTTAAACATATATCTGAATTATCCTGTGGAGCATACGAAAAGGATGTGAAATGCTTTATTGTACAACTTTTATGCTATCCCTTGCCACCATTAGTTGCAAATACCATCTATGAAGCAGAGAGAGGAACTGAAAAAAAAACAAAGATGAGAACGTGCTGGAAAGGGCCTAGCATGTAATTATCTTGCTCAGCTCCTTTTTTTGGCAAATGGCTTAAAGCAGAAGAGTAGAGAACACAAGTCAGCCAATTTTACTGAGTTGAACTAAACTAAAATTACAAGAAGTCCCTGTGGCACCTTAGAGACTAACAAATTTATTTGGGCATAAACTTTTGTGGGCTATGACCCACTTCCTCACATGCATGGAGTGAAAAATACAGTAGGCAGGTATAAATATACAGCACATGAAAAGATGGGAGTTGCCTTACCAAGTGGGGGGGGGGTCAGTGCTAACAAAGCCAATTCAATCAGGCTGGATGTGGCCCATTCCCAACCGTTGACAAGAAGGTGTGAGTATCAACAGAGGGAAAATTACTTTTTGTAGTCACCCAGCCACTCTTTATTCAGGCCTAATTTGATGTTGTCAAGTTTGCAAATTAATTCCAGTTCTGCAGTTTCCCGTTGAAATCTGTTTTCGAATTTTTTGTTGTTGAAGAATGGTCACTTTTAAGTCTGTTATTGAGTGTCCAGGGAGATTGAAGTGCTCGCCTACTGGTTTTTGAATGTTACAGTTCTTGATGTCTGATTTGTGTCCATTTATTCTTTTGCGTAGAGACTGTCCGGTTTGGCCAATGTACATGGCAGAGGGGCATTG